CTTATCATTCCAACATTTGATTTTGGGCAGTGTACGAGTTTGTGAGAATGTTGGCACCTGCGGAAAGAAGGGGTGGGCACGAGAAACGCAAAATCGGAGTCTTTATCCGCGAATTGTTTGGGCCTAATCGCGTCCTTACAGATACTCTCATCTTCTTTTCCTTTTGCCAATTATGGGCATATTTTACTCTACATGGTCAACCGATTTACCGTAATCACTGCTGTAAAAAATTCCGATATTTTTCGCATTTCTCAGCAGTTTGCTATGCGTTGCTTTGAATGTGCCTGGTATTATATTTAAAGCCTTTTCTTTATTTCGAAAGCTCCTCTCTCAGCCGATTGCCATTGCAATTAGCATCTGCTCGACAAGCTATTTAGTGGATAATCTTATGTACTAAAAACCTGGCAGACAAACTTGCTCCCCCCCCCACAATGATTAAACTTAGGGTATCGTCCCCGCAAAAGCGCTGCTCCAAGGCGTAACTTTTCGTTTTATTGATCACATTACCATTCCAACGATTCCGCATATTTTATCTTGAAAACCAATCGTAATTCTCACATCTCGAGCCATTGCAGGTCTCCGGTTCCGTCGCACGCGAGCGTCGAGTCGAAGCCTGGCTCGGTGATGTCGTCGATTCCAGCCTATCCCTGTGACCAATCCTTCAACAGCACACCGGTAAGCCTTGATTCCTTTAGGGCATTTACACCCTTTTAACCACCGCTTCAGTCATCCACATCCCAAGCGGTTACTCCGACACCTTTCGCGGCCGCCGCCACCACGAACGGTTCGGCCACCACCGAAGGCACCTCCCAGAATAATGGCAACGGCTCGGATCGTGACCGTAGCATTGGCAAAAATTTCCTGACTCGACCGATCTGTGTACAAACGTTCTCCACCAACAGCATGCCCAATCATCTGGCCATCTCGGACAGTTGTGGAGGTGAGTGGCACTTCCTGGCAAGTCTCAACCTTACGTGGATGTGCGTTTTCAGGAGTTTATATCACGGACTTCCAAGGAAGAATCAAGGAACACGTGCTGGTGAAGAACTCCTCGGCAAGTTCTGTGGCCATGATGAAAAGAATGACGTGATGTGCGTTCCTATTCCCTTTTTGTTTCATTTTTTCATTTTTTCCAGAAACTTTGTGCTATTCTTGCCTTAGGCCGATGTCAGACTTTGCGAATCGCGCGATTCGCTAGCGTCTGCGGTCGCGTCGCGGCCAGTGAATCACTCAATTGGCTGGTACCGCAACGCGACCGCGGACGCTAGCGAATCGCGCGATTCGCAAAGTCTGACATCGGCCTTACATGTGATAATTTTGTGGTGTCGTTTCCATCTTTCTCTTTTTTATTCTTTCCCACCTTTGGCCCTCTAATCCTGATATGTGCTTTGCTGCTCTCTGTACGAACACGTCTCGTTTTCCACTAATATTGTTTTATTTCTTATCTTTTATTCCTTGACTTGTGGAGCGGAAGTGATGTATTGAGCAAAGACGCAAATCAACCGCCTGCGCGTGGCAGGGCGATCAAATTCTGCGTCGTGCGTTGGGCGGGCACCAAGCCTTTTCCTCCGGGTTGCCGCCCCCCCCGAGTCGGAAATTGAACCATTCTTGCTGGAATATGAAAAAACCGACGCGTAGCGTCGCTGCTGAACCCCAAGTTATTGTGTGGGCCAAGTCGCGTCAACTTGTCAATGCACTCTGCATTTATGAATGGAGTGGAATGCGCGGCCGCAGCCATGATTACCGGATGTTGACCGTTCCGCCTTCATCCCGTTATCGTTCAAGCCGACTTTATGTCTATTCTCGTTGTTTTCTATTTACGTTGCCCATCTCATGTCGTGTTCTGAATTTCGTTTTCAAACTCTCCTACTCTTTTTTTACATCTTTCTTCTTCGTTTTCATATCTTTTCCATTCTCCCTACTTCAAATTTTTCATGGGCTCATCCTTTCCTTTTCCAGCTATGTTGGGTGATCGGGAGCAGAAATGTCAGTTTTGTAGGCCATCGATTTCCCGAGGAAAAACGTGACTTTCGTACGGTCTGTCCTTTTTGCTATCGGGGACGTTGGATCACCCATCTCCCATTCCCATATAATTTCCCGTTTATTTCCGCTATATATTTGTTCTTGTTCTCCCATTCTCCCCCGCTTTAGTTCCCTATCAAATTCCCTTCTGTTTTCCCGCAGCATTTTCATAAAGGCGGAGTTTACGATGGCAAAGTGCTCATTAGGAGTGGAGGTAGAAGTGGTCTGTGTGCAGAAATGAGGAGAAAAACCCTGAGACACCTGGAACCCGAGAAACGAGACCCTTGTTCGTTGATTTCCGCATTGATGCGACTCTCATCGGTGCTGCCCTCTTCAACGCTAACGCTCTCTCTCTGCAAACGGCTAGAGTCAGACGGCGAGGGGTGGGCGGCAGCGGCGCGAGCGGCGCGGGTATGGCCCTGCTAGGCCGCTGGGACCATACTATTCGATGCGAACGCGCGTCTTCCCGCTTCCTTAGGGGGCCGCCCTCCTTTCAACTAGGTTTACTTCCCCTTCTTCGACCTCCGCCTCATCGTTTAATCCCGTTCTTTCCTCGCCTTGTCTCGCGCTTCCTGTCTTTCTCCTCCTTTTTTTCTTTCTTTGTTCATCGCCTTCTTCCGTTCCTTATTTAATTACGTTAGTCGCTTTAGGTATGTTAGTATAATGCAATCGAAAGGACGATCGGTTCACGTCTTCGACATTGCGAACGGCTTTAAAAAATTGGATGTGAGTTTAAGGGAGTTTTTACGGGTGTTCTCTCATAACCCTGTCCTGATTCAGGTGATTCTCTGTCCGAAAGATCCGAAGATCGAGATGAGTCGAACGCGATGGCTGACCGTTGGGACCGAGGGGTCAGCTGTTCATGGTCAGCGGCGACAATGTGAAAAGTGCAGTGTGGTGTTACGTCAGGTCTAAAAAGGTATCAATTCTTCATTCATCCAGGTGTCTCTCCTCTTGAATTCTGAAGCAGCTTCTTATAGGCATGGAAAACGCTCAAAGAGTCGAGGAAAACCCGTTATCAGTATATCAGTGTGGCAGAAGACCAAGCGGAATACAAGTGAGTTTCCACCGGAAAGTTCGGCCAAAAACCGGTCGTGCTAATTTGACATGACAGCTCTGGCGAATGTTGTCCAATAAATACTATTCCAATTTTCTTACATTTCCTATATAGGGATAGAGCACGACTGGATGTATTAGCATGAAGGGGTATGCTGGTTTAATTGCCTACCAAACATTCTTGGGAAGGAGATTTGGAAGAGGGACGCGTTTTGGAACATATAATACAGTTGAACTTTGAGGGCACAGTCGGCATTAGATCTTTATGGCGGTTTTTTCGTGAGTGAGGTTGCATGGTCATACAGAATTCGTGGCAGCACTGCTGGCTCGATATTAGGTGATAAGGGCACTAATTCTAAGCGCTTGCCTTGACTGCTACTACCGTTGCCGCTTTTACTCGGTCGCAGCACACGCGATGTCTGCGCCCTCTCGTACGACATGCTCTCTCGCGTACTCCCTCTCTTCGCCGCGCTGTGTCTCTTCATCCTACCACGGTCGACCAACAAGAAGAAGGGGAGCTTTATTTCAGTGCCTTCTATGGTTCTTTTCGGTTTTTCTTCCAATGACGGTCCTTTAC